AATTGATTTAATTAAAATCTAATTTTCATTAAATAGCAAATTAGAGTCAAACTCTAATTCCAAGAAGAAATTTAGGGCGTGACAATTTAATTAAAATCGAATTTTAATTAAATGTCAAATTAGAATCCAATTCTAATTTCGAAAATATATTCGGGTGAATAACCAGTTAAAATCAAATTTTAATTAAGTATTAAATTAAAGTCAAACTTTAATTTAAATTGAATTAATATTTTAATATAAGATGAAACTCCTAAATAAAATAAAATTCAATTTAGGGTCAAATTTAATATTTAAGTTAAAATCATATTTTAACGAAAATATAAAAAATTGTCAATTTAAATTAAAATTTTAAACGGGTCCAATTTGAAATTTTAGGTCAAACACATTTAAAAACAAATTTAAAACCATTTGGAAATTAAATTCAAAACTACATTTTCAAAATTGCAAATTGACCCTAGTTTAAAATTTTCAACAGAGTCCCTTAATTTCGTAAATTACGGAGCAGATCCTTTTTCAAAAATTGCAAACTGACCCCATATTCCATAATTGCAACCAGGGGCGTGAAATTTCCAAAATTGCAGTTGAGGCCCCTCTCTCTACCCGATTTCTGAAAAACCTTAAAAAATTCAATTTTTTTTTTTAAATTTAAGAACTCTTGGTTTCATGGGGCGGCGATATATATATATATATATATATATATATATATATGAAAATCAAATTTTCATAAATAGCCAGAAACAAGAAATTACAAAATCAACTTTTGATTTCACCAACATTTAAATCAATTCCTAACAAATACAAAGAATGCTCTGATACCACTGTTGGGAATCTACTTATACATGCACAGCGGAATTTAAAATAATTTTCGATTCCCACCAAGAATCGCCTTTGTATTTAGATAGAAATTGTGATAAGGATTGTACTTTTGAAGAATTCTGCAATTCTTTTACTTTTCTTTTAGTTCCATCAACCTTGATTCGCCACCACAGCTGTCCAATTGTCCAGCCTCCAACGGTGATCCACACAGAAAATAAGATTGTAGCTTCTAGGGTTTTCTCTTGTGCCAGCAAGAATAATGAAAACCATATGAACCTCAAACTCTAGCCATATATTTATATAAACCCAAACGGGCTCGGCCCGGTCCGGTCCAATATTTAATTAATCCAATTAATTAAACCCGGCCCGTGAATTAATTAATCCAATTAATTAATTCGGGAATATAAATAACAAATCCAATTAATTAATTTATCCAACGATTGTTAAATTAACCAATTGGCAATTTACAATCTTCCAATTCTCTTTTGTGTGCGACCCATTAGGTTCCCGACCACGATACCTAACGACGTGAAATATTATTTTGATCAAATCAAAATTGATAAATTAAAACACCCTTTTAATTTATCGTCAATTCACACTCGCCGTCCCTGATTGATATCTGGCAATGTGTCAGAGGAATACATGTGACGAAAAATGTCACGTGGTATGACAAAATCAAATTCGTTTGTTTATCGTGAAACTATAATCCCTTCGTCAATATGATTCGATCAATTACGAGATATGAAATTGTGTCAATATCGATCATCGATCATATCTTTCACTCCACTATTAAATCAATATAAGTCGAAAACTCTTTTTTCGACTTATGAGTACACCTTAGCCAAGGATTTCATCATCGACTTAATTGAATGAAACGCAGATCATAATCTCCTACTATCTAAGAGTGGCGAATCATTTATTGATCAATCACAACCTTCATAAGATTCTTGACGTACCTGAACGATGTCGTATTAGCGGCCCTTTTCAGAGCAACATCCAACATCGCCAAAGTATGATTGTCCTCATATAAGATACCATGACGACCTCAAGTCAAAGGACCAATTCCACTACCGAACGTTAGAGATTAACCACTGACACTCAGATAGTTATCCATGTGGAATCTCTCGACGGGTCTCCAATGTTTTGTTCTATAATAAAACATCCACGTGTTCATTTAAGTGTCACCACACTTTAACTTGTGAGATCAGCTACTTACTTCACAAGTAAGAAATGCTACACGTGATGGTCTATCCGTAATGACGATATCCGTATCTCGTTATTACTTATGACCACGGATGATTTAAGATTCAATCAGATGTAATTTGTATCTCACAATCACAACTCTTTGTGATTAACAAATTACAAATATTTGAATTTACGGACTCTATTATTTATTTAATTGTCTATTAATTAAATAATAAATCTGCCATTTAATTACATTAATTATATATAAAAATATTTATGTCCAAAGTTGATTGGACCTAGGGCATAATACATACACCTATGATATCCGTAAATGTAGAGTGAGTTTGCAACCAGAAAAAAAAAGAATTGAGTATCAAATTGAGTTCATTTATTATGTAGATTAGGACCAAAGGACGTCAGTTTTTAATTGTTATTTCGTTCTTAGAAACCTGTTGCCACATCACTTAGATGTCCATCTTTAAATTCCTGAAAGGTGTCTACAGTTCATAAAATGAATAGCAGTATAAAACAAGAAGAAAAATTGGCACAAAAGTATTTGACATATACGTAAAGCATAATGTCCCCGGAAAAAATCGCATTAACAACTATTAAAATCTAAATAGTAGAATGAAACAACACTTAAAGAATGGAACAGTACTAATGGAGCCAAGATATGCAGCAATCAAAGTGAAATTAGTCACTTGATTTTGGCAAGTTATTGAAGAGAAGAAAAGAGAAATTAAATGTAACTCGGACTGTGAAAAATGGAAATGTAACAAAATGTAACAAGTCATTGTTCTCTATTAGACAGTGCAATTTATGTGTCCCCTTCAGAATTTAGCTTCTTACTATTATAATTGCTATTTCTTTAAGGTATCAAAATGTAAATATGTTGACTAATGCCTTGGCCTTTTCTAATAAATTTCTTGTGAATTATTTGGTGATTAGCACGCATTTTCTGACCTTTTATTATTTTTTAAGTAGAAGAGTTACAATACTGATATTTGAATTATTAAAGTCAAGGACAGGAGTGCTAATAAAATACAATCATGGGTTGCTATTCATTTGATTTGATGATAATAAATGAAGAAATCTTAGTTGAGTTCTCTGCCTTAATAACTAAAAAGGGAATGATCAAATTTAATTATTTGACCACCTACAAAAATTCTCCCCATTTATCAGCCCCGCAAACAAATTATATTATCTTGATATATTCCTAAGATAACTCAACACTCATGAATTCTTATAAAATGTCATTTACTCTTCTAATTACTACGTCAAATGAGATCATAAAGCTAAAGAAACGCCCCCCGGGGCATATCTAAGTAGTGCAAAGGATAAGAGTGAGGTAGTTTCAACCTTGCTGGCAGTCGCAATTTGAGGGTTCGATTTCTAAGATATGGAATTGAACTCTTTGTGGGCACCAGTGTACGGATAAGGTCTTGCTCCCTGACCTGCTGAGACACATCTCGCGATTTACCTCACTCGCGATATTCCAGGGGCGGGGCGAGGCCCTCAAGATTGGGGTTCAACCTTTTTTTTTTTGTTTTTTAAATAAAGTTAAAAAAATGCAGAAAAAATGTTTGTAGCCATCTAGGAAATGAAGATGTTGAAAGTCATTTACATATTAACCATCTTTATACACACGTACTGTATTGTACAAGTATCTTCAAATTGATTTTTTATTCTTCCAAGACTACAAAGTCCAAAATTTGTGCTGTCTTGCTTGTATTTTTTGAAATGTCTCACAATTGTATATGCTCAAACACAAAGTAAGTAATACGTCTAGATTTGAATATTGTCTGTAATTCACAAGGAACAAAATGGAAAGAAAGTAAAAGTGTCAACCTCTAAATTAGCGTGATGCTCCTGAAGTATCTTGAATGGCTGCTTAAAAGTGTCAACCCAGTAGCATAGCAACGTGGATTTGAATGGCTGCTTAAAAAATCTACCAGAACATAGACAGAAAGTAAAAGTGTCAACCCAGTAGCATAGCAACATGGATTTGAATGGCTGCTTAAAAAATTTAACAGAACATAGACATTTCTCTAATAGTCTCTCGACATTAACCTTAAGAAACAGCAGACTTGAGGAAGATCCTAAATTATATCATGTCATCACTTACATATTCTATCCTATTAACTTGATCATTGGGGTGGATGTGACTGCCTCCACTATTGGAGTCTGGCCGTATGCTCTAACGATTTGTCAAAGTGTGCAGGACTAAAGTTTAAATGGACGCTAGAGGAGTTGGGATCTATTGGCCATGTCACCTCTACAAAAAGTGAAGTCAACACTCTTCAATATTCAACTTCAAGGGTCCTAACGTCTTTATGCTTGAGTTTTCATTAATTTCTTGACTTCTCTCTCTGATTTCTCCTAAAACATGAAATTTTTTCATGCGTTTGATTTGATCTCTACTACAATTTGGCATTTTTTCCCTCCCTTCTTAGACTCAATTAACATCTATTTATAGTTTTCAATGGATTCACAATTATTATTCATTTATATTTATTTATAAATTCTTCCGAAATGAGGCTTAGAATTCCCGTGTAAATAATATTTTGAAATAAATTTAAATTACTCACTTAAAAAATTCCTAGCAAATTTAAGCTGTTTTTGCATGGCTCAGAAAAAAACACAAAGCCATTGATCAAATACCGTAATTTTTGGAACAATCTCATAACAGACACCACCACAATGCCTCTCTCTCTCTCTCGCTCACCCTCCTTTGTCTTTTTCTCTCTACTGCCCGAACAACGCAATCTTTTGTTGTTTGTAAAAACGACCTTGGTTTCCCCTTCAGTTGGGAGAAGAGGAGGGAAAAACAAAACATTCACCTCTCTCCTCCTTCTCCTCTTCCCAAATTTCAAACAAAATTATGTAATTTACGAAGAATCACAGCCATCCAGTATTGATTTTTTGGCCAGACGGTCACCACCGCCGCTGTAGTCATATCTATGAGAAGGCTTCTTCTTTTTTTCATTTTCCAAAATGACATGGCATTGGCGCCGGATTTACAGTCACCCGAATCCTATGTTATATCATTGCCGCCGTCGTCGGCTGTATCTCCGGCAACATTTGAAGATTCTTTATATACGAATTATGATGCGAGCTTTTTTATCCCTTCAGTTCTGGTGGCCAGAAGCGGTTTCGATTTAGCCACCGTAGCCATTATTACCTCCCTCCTCCTCCTCTCTGTTCTTTCTTTTTTATTCATATTCCACCTCCGCATAAAATCACGCAGAATGAAGCATTTACAAGATTTTAATTCACTGTGGACCGTGAGATTACTCCTTGTAACGTTTGCTTTTCTCTGGGCCGTGAATGAAACCATACGTCTACCAAATGTTCGGCGAAAGTACCTCGACCCTTTTTTAACGTTCAATCAACAAACAAATCTGTGTAAATTCCATGTTGTTCTTTCTCTTGGATTCTACGAACCGGGTTTCTTAATCACCCTTCTTTTCTTGGTTAACGTTTCGATCAAGAAAAAAAACCCTTGTCGAATGTGGGCTCTTTTGTGTGTGTCCATGGTGTGCTTCCCCATGACATTGATACAGACAATTCTTGTCTACTTTGCGCCATTGGAGACAGAGCTTCCCAAATTCGTGCATGGTAGTTCAATTCTTACGATTGATTTTCAAGGAAACAAAACCGTTCTTTGCACATACCCATTTTTCAGTTGTGTTGTCTTTTGGGTATTTGCAATTGTTTATGCATTAGCTTTCTTGTTTTCATGTTGGAGGGTGCTGGACTTTGTGATCAACAAGAGTATACGTGTACGAATCAACTTGCTGTCAGCTGCCGTAATGGTGGCGCTGCCAATACAAATTCTCTGCCTCGGCCTCTCGTGGCTGTGGCTGCCAGAGGAGGACGGGTATGGGTGGGTTGTGTTAGTCATGTTCTTTAGTATCACCACATGCATGGCGGTGGGAGAGGTTATATTGACAATAAAGCCAATAACGGATGCATTGGTGGCAGGGGCTGAGTGTCGCCGGCGTTTCCCCGGAGGATTCCGGCTGAGGCGGCAGGTGGTGCAAAGAGAACGAGTGAATCATCAAGAAACGGGTCTATAGCGATGGGCTATGGGCCATGATATAAGCCAAATGGTGCAAGTCATGGTCCTTTTTTTAAATTGTTTGATGACATTAATTTGTTTCATTGATTGTAATTTTTCTGCCGTATGATCCAAGTTGTATAATGTTTCAAATCAATCAGAACATTGTAATTAGGAAATTTTGTTCTAAATGTGGAAATAGTGAAAAAAGAAGAAGAAATCTTAGAGAAAAAAACACAACTGAATTTCCAGCTTTTTTTATTGATGCTTGGTTCTGAAAATATATTGAAGAATATTGTTGCATTTCTTCATAATTTATCAAGGAAATTGTGCATGATAAAGCTACAATACTATTTTATTCAAGCAAAAAATTTTGTAATTCTGTCGACCTCGATGAAATTTTGATATAGATTTACTAAAGTTACTTGTACATATTGAAGGTGAACATGAAAGTCATCATCCCTTAAAACCAATTCATAATCACGATTTTGAAATCGGGACTACGTGTTTATGGTTTCGACCATTTCAAAATTGAACCAAACTTTTTGGAAGTAACATATAATTTTTAACAACTCCCATAAAGTTGTACAATATTAATCACTTTTTCTTTAATTATAAATCACACACCTGTAAACTTGTACAGTATTGAAAGAATAGATGTAATGTACTAATGTCTATAAATAACATCACCACCTACAATGGAAAACACACTTAAAAACACAAAAACACACCATATAACATTTGCACTAAAAAAATTCTCGAACAATCTTTGTACATCCAAACTCCAAAGACTTCAAATTAAAGTAAGTTATTTTCATACATTCTCTTGTTTTATAATTCTCTTTTACTTTACTTATTTTCGGGTAAAGCCTAAAAGAGGAAACACCAAGTAAGCAATTAATTTATTCAAAAGTAGTATTTTATATATTTTTCAAATATATTTCTGCTGTTTGAAAATGATTTGGTTTAGGTTTCGATATGATTTTGTTTAGGTTTCGATAGTTAAAAATCACTTTAAATCAAACTATGAGTTCACTCAATTTTTTTGAAAGATCTACTTATTTTATTCAAGTTATATTATTTATTAGTTCAATTTACACTTCAACAAATTTACTTGTTGGTCAACTTCTATTGGCTCATTAATAAAATAATTATTTACTTATGATAATACTTTTCTTGTATAAAGAATGAAATTGTAAGCTTAAATTTTATGGTTAAACATGTATAGAATTGTTTTAAGATGTACGAAGACAATAATATTTTTAATAAAGAATCAAAATATTTTACATTAAAAGTATTGTAGTAATGCATATATCATCGTAACATGTAATGAGTAAAAATTGTTAGTTTTGAATGGAAAAATTGAATTATTAATTTGAATGAAAATAATGTAAATTTATAAAATTATAAAAGGAGGTAAATACAAAATATTTATTTTTTATTAAAAAAAGTGGTATTTTTTAAAAGATGTAAAATGAGGTGTTCTTTAAACAAATGCAGAGTATTTGTAAATTATCCCTTAATTTTATTGATAATTAAACTTAATTGATTCTTTTTATTAATGGACCATTCATAACTCATAAGCCCGAATTTGTTTGTAAACGAAATGTTACTTAGCCGTGCCAGATTCTACTCATTTGATGTTACCAAAACGCATAATATGGTTTAAATCATTTAATAGAAAAGGCTTGGGACGAACTAGAGAGTTTAGCTTGAACACATCCTTTTTTTACTAGGAAGAAAACTTATCGAAAATATTTAGACGACCTGCATTATTCCTACGCTCTTATGAAATTATTCATATAATGTTCATTGTAAAAATTCGTGATAGTAAATGTAAAGACATGGGTATATACTCAAGTCATTAACTCTTACATTTGTATGTTTTGGTGGAGTTTGTATTCATTTTATTCTTCACAAATTTCCTTTGCATCACTCAGGATTCAAATCTAAGACCTTCATGTCTTATTAGAAATTTAAGTTGAATCTTAATATGGGCGGATGTAGGCGGACAGACCTAAATTATTATTATTATTATTTATTTTTATTTTTTTTTGTGAAAAACAAATTTTGTAACATATTAGCTCAACTTAAAGAAAAAAGTCAGTCTAGTCTTAACTCCGCTCACGAATCCTAGTACCAATTGATTAAGGGGAAAATTGTAGCAGTGGTTTTTAACCTCTCACTTTTTTGAAGACTTTACCTTATTATTCATTTTGTGCTGCCTACAGTCCCAAACCTTTTAAAAATATGTATTTGGGGGTTTAGATGTATGGATCATTAGATTAAATAAGTTAAAAATAAAAATAAAAACCCAAAAAATAAAAATAAATCCACCCCATCACCAATCCCCACCACCCTACCCAACCCCCACCTCAATTCAAGCCAAACTTCATCTTCTTTTCATGGTCGCCAGCACCACCACAGCCTCTACGCCGGCTACTAATTATCTCCTACCTTTTAGCTACAGTCCAAAACCACCATCATTCCCTAGTCTTCAGGCACCGCACAAAAACCACCTCCAAAATTCACCACCATTCTCCTGCCTTTCAGCCACCACCCAAAACTACCACTATTCCTAGCGGCGGACCCAAGGGGGGTTCCCTAAGGTCACTTGACCCTCCAATTTTTGCAATTTTTTTTTTCGAGTTCACTATGGAAAATCAAACGAAGTTGAAATATTACATTCTTAATATCATTTTGAAATTTTTTCGGCTTAGTATTTCACGTCGTTAATGTTGTGCGAAATGGCCAACCGTAGCAAATGTTACGACGCGTCAAAATAGGCTGTTCCGAACTAATATTTCAAGAATTTCGATAACAAGATAACTTTAAAATTTTTTCGATGATTATACGCTAGCCATATCCATAAATCTTCTATATTTTCTCGAAATTCATTTCGAGAACTATATCATAAACACATCGAATGATCTAAATAAATATCGAAAATAGTTAAACGTACGTCAAACATATAAGCTAAAAAAAAAACGTATAACTCGTCTTTTTTGAAAAAAAAAATTAATTTTTTTATTAATGTTTATTATTTTTGAGCGACAAATTTCTTAATATAATTTACATCATTTTATTAAAAAAAATTATATGTGGTATGACGTCAAATTTTATTTTTTTTGGACGTAAAAATTCTTAATAAATTTTTTATTACTTCACAGGGGTTTTAAATTGTTATACTACTTTTTCATCTTAATTGTTTTTATATCTGAAAAAAATTATATATAAAAAAATTCAATCAATTTTAGGATTTTTTTTTAATTATTGTTACATTTTCCTGTCGATTAATTAAATTTTTTTTTCAAATGACGTCAAAGATTTTATTAAGAAATTTATTAGATTATTTTTTTAAAAAAATTAATTGATTGAGAGGAAAAAGTAACAATAATAAAAAATCATAAAAATGATCGAATCTTTTTTATATGTAAAAATAATTAAGATGAAAAGGTAATATAACAGTTTATAACCCACATAAAGTAATAAAAAAAATTCCGTCGCTTTTTTTAATGTGATCACATAATGTAAAATGTCTGCGTCCGCCCCTAACTATTTCCCTGCCTTCAGCCACTGCCCAAAACTATCGCCTAAATCCATTCCCCTACCTTTCAGCAACTTCCCAAATTCAAATCTAAATCTCGAGTCTCCTATAGATTACTCTCTACCACCATTCCACGCCTGGGAAATTGCCTAATTTGGAGCTTATGTTTGACTGTAATGATCGCTGATTTCATCCTTCAATTGCTTAATTTCGACTTTCACTTGCATAGTGCCCATGTTCTATATCTACTATTTAGCAGATTTCACCAAAGTCTATTAGCCGTTGGGTCTACAATAGTTTGGAGAAGAAGATGAATAAGGGGTGGGTAAATGTAGGTGGAAGAGAAGATATAGTGGGCTTGGAAGAGAGAAGAGAATAACGGAATCGTTGTAGTCGTCCCTAACAAGGAGAAGAAGAAGATGACAAAGATGGATGCGTGGGCGGGTGTGGGAGGGCAGTTTTCTTTTTCTTCTTTTAGTTTAATTGTTTTAATTGTTAATGCTTTGAAAAATATATTTTTCCTTTTTAATTTGTCAAAATTGATTAAATTTTGGTTTTTTGATCAACTAACGAAATTTCCATCTACTTGGATTCAGGTGCATGTTTTTGAAAGTTTTGAAACTGTGGGTGGCACAAAGTGAATATTAGGGTAAAATCTACAAAAAAAAGTGAAAGATTAGGGATTGATGCTGCAATTTTCCCTTAATTAAGACAAACACATATTCCTTCAAAGCGAAAAGTACACATGAGTTAATAATTTGAACACAAATACAGATCATTACAACTAAGCAAATATATCAAGCTTTAAATATAGAAGTGGTGTGCATAACTTAGCCCTCGTTTGGTCCCCATTATTATGTTATTGTAGAGCTACCAATTGCCAACCACCAAAGTTTTTACAGGCGCAGTTTACAAATCCAAATCAACACCACAAATCAAACAATCCAAGAACACCTCAAAGTCTCCACCTACGATTGCTAGAAATTTACTCACTGAGCACCACAAAGGAGAAGCAAAGCACCAAGAAAAGGAACCACAAAGGCAGGGTGAAGAGGAAGATAGAAAACGATAGAGAGGAGAACACGTTAGGATGCCCAAGATTACTACAAGTCTTGTGAGGCCAAGAATATATAGGTACCCAATTGCACAAGAATGGTAAGTCCATTAGGTTAAGCTAATGGGTCATGAGCCCAATAGGTATTAATTGATTGTAGAATGACCTCTAGTAATACTAGCCATCCAAGTAGGTAAATAATCGATCCATGAGCAACTCAACTTAATTGGTCACTTCAAATGGTCCAATTAACTTCTTGGGTTGGATCGTTTTAATTTGGGTGTTAGTATATCGTTCAATCTTACGGTCAAAGCTAACTAAGAAATTAAACCGGATTTAAGTCATCGCCTGAGATGTTGTTGATAATAATTTGTCTAACAACCTCCACCTGGTGTCAAAGGACCTGCAAAGAAAAACA